CAATATTTATTGAATTTTCGACAATACCTGGGAGGTTCGGGTGCATTCGAGTTTGGCGGTTTGCCTGTTTCTGGCAGCTTGATTGAGAAATCTATGAGCAAAATTGTCTCATGTTTAAAGTTTTATTTAATTTGGGCATGTCTCGACATTTGGGTGCATATTCGGCGCCCCCAAATGCCTGTGCGCAAAGCTGTCGGCCGTTTGAAGTCCACAGTTATCACATCAAAGCAAGGGGGCGAACAGATGGAAGAAGGTTTGACTTGGTCACAAAGTGGGAATAAACAATTTGTGTTGAAGAACATCAAAACATGGTCTGGGAACGGGTGTCACGCCCAGGCGGACATTTGTCATCTGCGAAGTCTGCAACTTGCTGATTCGTTGTCGACCAGACTGAAAGGTGTCAACAAATCTGTGAGTCAAAGCTTAAACCAAGGGAATCAGATCACTACCGAGGGGCCGGACCGGGGGCGTGGTATGCAAATATAGGGGGCAGTGTTTTTCTTGTATTTTGCATATGTAAACAATAAAAGTCCGACTGGAGGACAAGGAACTCTAAGTGTGATCACGAGGCAACTACCGTCATTTGCCCTTAGAGATCTTCTTCCGCCATCAGAAAGACAATCTTCCCTGTGTATCGAGTCATTTATTTAACTTTGTCCAGGTAAAAACTCGAGGGACACTGCAGCACCCCAGCTTTCCAACTAGACCAGCCTCATACGGATCTGATGTCGCATTTTGGAATAAAAGGCCTCTGAAAAGTGACATGATGACCTGGATTCTGAAACACTGACCTGAACTCTTGATCTTTTCGCCCATTTTTAAAACATCCTAAAAAAGCTCTGCTCTCTCCAGGTGTCAGAACCAGTGGTGTAGTGGGCGTGGTACGCGAGGGTACGCCGTCCACCCACTTCTCCCGACGCCACATTCAATTTTTGTTGAAATGTTTGTTGATCATTGTTCTAATGCGAGTTATGCTTCATAACGTTGGCCTGTGATTATTTTGGAGTAGTAAAACATTAAATTTAACGTTAGTTCAACTGGTGTTGTAGCCTATGATTGATGTTCTGTATGTATATATAGAACATCCCAGAATCGCGTACACCCACTTCAAAAATCCCCACGACACCACTGGTCAGAACATAGGAGATAGTAGTTGAAAACAGACAGGAGCTTGGATTTTAAAACAATTGTTATTTATTCTTCACATGGGTGATTGGCGCGATCATATTTTTGCAACGCTCAAAATTTGTTTCTACTTTTGGTGTACTGTATAAGGTTAGATTTGAGGAGTGCCTTGGATTGCTTTCTTCTGTCAGTGTTGGTCTTAGTGTCGTGTTGGATTGGATAAAACCCACTAGGGTTGCTGCATGAAAATGTCTTCTTTTTTTCTCATCAAGCTGTTGAATCATTGAATGTCTTTGAATGAAATATTAAATGAGAATGTGTTGGACTGTGAAATGCACTTGAACTGTTCTTAGAAGATGCACTTTGTTTTTGAAAGCAGGCTGTATGCAAAGCGACAGGTTTCTGTTTGATTTCACACACACACACACGCACACACACACACGCGCACACACACACACACACACACCAACACACATACACACGAGCTGCAGTGGTTACTTACCACTTGGGTCAGCTTGCTACATATTTGACCGAAGATCGACTTTTGAAGAGATTAACCTCCCGCTATCGACCTGATCGCGCACGTGCAAGCATATACACACGCACGCGGGTGCCCAACCACGCACACGTGCACATACGCACGCACGCCTCTTAGCGCCACCATCGGTTGGTGATGACATGACTCCATGCTCTACTGAGACTTATGATAAACCATCTGAAGGTGATATGACATGTGAAACCGAAAAACGCTGGAAATGTTCTCAGTGCGGGAAAATTTATTCTTATGCGGGCAGTTTGAAGAGGCATATGATTTGCCACAGCGTTGAGAAACCTTTTGCCTGCTCAGTGTGTGAGCAAAGATTCTCCCGGAAGGAAAGCTTAAAATGTCACACAAGAAGCCATACTGGTGAGAAACCTTTTGCCTGCCCAATTTGTGGACAAAGTTTCTCAGAGAAGGGATACTTAAAAAGACACATCAGAAGACACACTGGTGAGAAACCGTTTGCCTGCTCGGTTTGTGGCCAAAGATTCTCTGAGAAGCGAACCGTAAAAATGCACATGAAAACACACACTGGTGAGAAACCTTTTGGCTGCTCAATTTGTAACCAAATGTTCTTCGATCAAGGACACTTAAAAATACACACAAGAACCCACACTGGTGAGAAACCTTTTGCCTGCACTGTATGTAACCAACGATTCTCTCATAAAGGACATTTAAAAATACACACAAGAATACATAATGGTGAAAAACCCTTTGCCTGCTCAGTTTGTGACCAAAGATTCTCTGAGAAGGGACGTTTAAAATTACACATGAGAACACACACTGGTGAGAAACCTTTTACCTGCTCAATTTGTGGACAAAGATTCTCTCAGAGGGGAAGCTTAAAATTACACATGAGAACCCACACTGGTGAGAAACCCTTTACCTGCGCAGTTTGTGGCCAAAGATTCTCCCATAAGCAACACTTAAAACATCATACGAGTACACACACTGGTGAGAAACATTTTTCTTGCTCAGTCTGTGGTAGAAGATTCTCCTTGAATGGACATTTGACAGCACACATCAGTACCCACACTGATGAGAAACCTTTGCATGCTCAGTTTGTGACAAAAGATACTCTATGAAGGAACATTTGACTGAACACACACGAACACACCCTGATGAGAAGCCTTTTCCTGCACACTTTTTGGTCAAAGGTTCTCTAAAAAGGCATACTTAAAAAGACACACAAGAAACCACACTGGTGAGAAACCTTTTTTCCTGCAGTTTATGAAAAAGATTCTCTCTAAAAGCTATCTTAAATGTTCATAAAAGAACACACACGGGTGAGAAACCATTTGCCTGTGTAGTTTGTGGCCAAAGGTTCTCTCACAAGATATCTTTAAAGCGTCACAAAAAAGACACACTGGTGAAAAAAACTTCCTGCTCAATTTGTGACCTGAGCTTCTCATGGAAGGATCATGCTCAGAATCACAAGTGTGTTATTGAGATGAGCAGTGATCAATGAAGCTTTGGCCTCTCATCTGAGCAGGCTACATCACGTCATGCTCCAAAGATGACTGAATTCTATGCACCTCTTGCAAGATTGCTAAAATTCAGTTTTTCTTTGTCAGAGTGAAATGTTTGGAACTTTTATGTGAAATTATTGTTGAGTTGTCATCTTGTTCTGTTAGAGGAATCTATGAGCAAAATTGTATCATGTTTAAAGTTTCATTTAATTTGGGCACATCTAAACGGTTGGGTGCGTAACCAGCACCCCCAAATGCCTGTGCACAAAGGCGCCGGCCACCTGGCCGGAGGGCTGTTGAAGTCCACAATTAGCACGTCAATGCAGGTGGGCAATCACAGGGGAGAGGGCGAAACTCGGTCACAAAAGGGGAATGAATAATTTGGGAACAGGGGTTGAACAACAAAAGACGAGTTGAGAACACCCGTCGCGCCCAGG